CCAAAAAAACATGAGCTTCAGCTTGGGAGGGCCTGAAATTACTTTTATTTAAAATATATTTTTATTGATTTCAGGGAGGAAGGGACAGGGAGAGAGAGATAGAAACATCAATGATGATGAGAAAGAATCATTGATCAGCTGCCTCCTGCATGCCCCCTACTGGGGATCAAGCCTGTAATCCAGGCTTGTGCCCTTGCCGAATTCAAACCTGGGACCCTTCAGTTCACAGGCCAATGCTCTATCCATTGAGTCAAACCAGCTAGGGCTGAAATTACTTTTATTTATTGTCTCAAGTTGATAAGACTCTCATTACATTTACTGACTAGCAACAACCAGTCATTCAGCAAATATTTATGGAGCATTTGCCAGATGACATATGGGATACAGTAGTGACTAAAACAGACAGAAAACCCTGATTTTCATGGAGCTTACATCTAGACTGATTGATATTCAAGACTCCTTTTGAAACCTAATGCTGATATATTAATTTACAAAGAGAACCAGTACTGACAGTTGACCAAAGAAATACAAATGTCTTTTAACATGGGAAGATGTTCAATCCCAGTCAAAACAAGAGAAATACAAATTAAAACTACACTTTTTCTTCCTACAAACTGGCAGAAAGTCCAAACTGTTGACAACATACTCTGTTAGTGAGGCTATGGGAGGAAAGGCACTCTCATACATTGCTGGTGTAAGGGCAAAATGGCACATTTTTCATGGGCAGCAATGAAATAATAACACCATAAACAATTAAGCCTCCTCAGACTTCCCAGTGAGTTCAACAGCATATCTCCTGCCATGGGAATTATATTCAATTTGAACCAGTAACTCTACTTTAAAAAGGAATTCTAAGAAATAAATGCAAGCCTTGGCCAGATAGCTCAGTTGGTTAGAGTGTTTGTCCTGATACACCAAGGTTGCAGGTTCAATCCCCAATCAGGGCACCTACAAGAATCAATCAGCATGGCTGGCATGGCTCAGTGATGGAGCGTGAACCTATGAACCAGGAGGTCATGGTTTGATTCCCAGTCAGGGCACAATCCCCAGGAGGGGCATGGAGGAGGCAGCCGATGAATGTTTCTCTCACATCATTGCTCTCTCTCTCTCTCACTATCTATCTCTCCCTCCTCTCTCTCTCCCCTCTCTCCCTTCTTCTCTGAAATAAAAATATATTTTTAAAAAGAAACAACCAATAAATGCATAAATAAGTGGAACAACAAATCAGTGTTCTTTCTCTCCCTTCCTCTCTCTCTAAAAATCAATTTTAAAAAAGAAAGAAATGCAGATATATAAAGAGAGCAATAGGAGGATGCTGGTATGCTTGTTGCAGCATTATGTATAATAGCAAAAATATTTTATGTTTATTAATCAAGAAATAATTGGATAAATAATGGAATATTCATACTACAGAATGGAATCATTAAAAAAGCTAGATTTGTCTACATCGCACTCTATATTAAATAAAAATAAGTTGCAGACAAAATGCATCATCATCATGATAGCTAATACTTAAATTGTGTTGATAATGTGTCAAACAGTGTTCTAAGAACTTTTCACGTATTATCTCATGTAATCCTCACAGTCTTTTAAGGTTAGGTATTGTTATCCCATTTCAAAGATGAGGAAGTCTAGGCATAGAGATTAAATAATTTGCCCAAGGCTAAACACCTAGTAAATGACTAGAGCCTGGAATGCAACTCAGGAACTCTGGCTCTGGAGTACCAGCATATAATCATCTAGTACACTGTCTCTAAACATAAGTCTGTGTGTGAATATACATGTAGATACTGTATATGCATTGGGGGGGGGGTTCTTTTTTGTTTTTTTATACATATTTTTATTGATTTCAGAGAGGAAGGGAGAAGGAGAGAGAAATATCGATGATGAGAATTACCGATTGTTTGCCTCCTGCATGCCTCCTGTAGTCATTTACTGGGGCTCGAGCCTGCAACCCAGGCATACTAGCATGCCCTGACCAGGAATTGAACTGTGACTTTCTGGTTCATAGGTCGATGCTCAACCACTGCCACACCAGCTGGGCATACATATATGTATTTTGCATATGTGTATATGGTATATGTGTATTTAGGCATATATTTATAAATACAGATATATCAATATATAAACTTCAGGGGGAAATGGAAAGAATACCCACCAATTTATTAATAACTAGACGCCCAGTGCACAAAATTTCTGCACGGGTAGGGTCTCTAGGCCTGGCCAGCTATCAGGGCCAATCAGGGCCTTCCGGCTGCCAGCCGGGGTCTTCCTTCCCTGATAGTCAGCGCACGTCATAGCAAGCGATTGAACTCTCCCGGTCGAACTCCCAAGGGGACAATTTGCATATTAGCCTTTTATATATATAGATAGATGGTTATAACTCCAGGGGTTGAGTAGGGTGAGAGAAGTAGGGGAAGGGATTTTTATTACAGAGTTTGTGTGTGGGTGTGTGTGTGTCATTATGTATTGGTGGTTTTCAGTATCTTTCCAGTAAGTTTTTTCCCAATTTTTTTATTGTGATAAAATATATATAACATAAAATTTACTATTTTAACCATTTTTAAGTGTGCAGTTCAATGACATTCAGTACATTCACATTATTGTGCTACCATCAACCATCTATCCATATAACTCTTTTCATGTTGCAAAACTGAAACTCTACCCATTAAATAATAACCCCCATTTCCTCCTCCCCCCAAATCCCTGGCAACAACCATTCTACAATCTGTCTATATGAATCTTACTACTCTACATACATCATATAAATGGAATCATACAATATTTTTCTTTTTGTAACTAGCTTATTTCACTTAGCATAATAACCTCAATTTTCATCCATGTTATATCTTATATCAGAATTTTCTTCCTTTTTGAGGTGGATAATATTCCATTGTATGTATATACCACATTTTGCTTATCCATTTATCTATCAATGAACACTTGGGTTGCTTCCATGTTTTATCTATTGTGAATAATGCTGCTATGTGCATGGGTATATAAATATCTGTTTGAGCCTGGCTGGCGTGGTTCAATGGTTGCACATTGACCAGGAGGTCACAGTTCAATTCCTGGTCAGGGCACATGCCCGGGTTGCAGGCTCAATCCCCAGTGTGGGGCGTGCAGGAGGCAGCTGATCAATGATTTTCACTCATCATTGATGTTTTTATCTCTCCCTCCCTTCCTCTCTAAAATCAACAAAAATACATTTTAAAATAAATACATATCTGTTTGAGTGCCTGTTTTCTCTTATTTTGGGTATATACCCAGAAGTAGAATTACTGGATCATATGGCAAGTCTATGTTTTATATTTTGAAGAACCACCACACAAAAAATTTCTACAATTACGCCTACATGTTTTCCACAGCCCCTGTAACATTTTACATTGCCACCAACAATGCACAAGGGTTCCAATTTCTCCACATCCTCACTAATACTTGGTATTCTCTGTTTTGTTTTGTTTTTTACAGTAGCCATCCTAATGAAGTAATATCTCATTGCAGTTTTGATTTGCAATACCCTAATTTTTAGTGTTGTTGAGCATCTTTTCATGTTCTTATTGGCCATTTATTTATCTTTGGAGAAATGTCTACTTAAGGCATTTGCTCATATTTGTTTGCTTTGTTATTGTTAAGTTTTAAAACAAACAAAACAATTAAGTTGAGAGAGATTCTCCCTGAGACCATCCATTAAAACCTTATCTAATCAGCCCTGGCCCCTGTAGTCGGGGTGTCTTCCTGTGCACAGAAGGGTGGCGGGTTCGATTCCAGTTAGGGCACATACCCAGGTTTCGGATTCAATCCCCCCCAGTAGGGGCACGTTTAGGCTCTAAAATAAAGGGAAAATATTATGTTAACAAACAAACAAACAAACAAACACACCTTTATCTAATCAGCTACCTGCCTACAGAAGAAGGCCTGAATTTACCACTCACCACTTTCCAAGGTCTCAGGAGTCACTTAAAAATTTTTCTACAATTGAACCTGCTTCCACACCCCATCCCCACCCCATTGCCACCCCTATCCCTGCAAAGGTTGTTCCCACCCATGCGCGCGCACCCATTACAGGCAAATCACAGGTGCTATTTAATAATCACCCTTCTGCTCTCTTTCCGCCTGTGGATTTGCCGGGCAGTCAACACCTTCCTCTACAATGTACACTCATTTTAAGTGAACACTTTTTCCAAGTTGCCTTCAGCCGTTCCTTCTCTGGGCTAAATTTTCCAAAAGCCTTAAGAAACGGTTCTCTCTCCGCGCTATCATTAACTAGCAGAGGGCAGAAATGACAGGTTCCTCAGTCCCACCAGGAGGAGGCCTTGGTCCCGCTGGTCCAGCGGCAACCGCCACGTAGAAGCAACGTCAGCCTTTCGAACTCCACATCCCGACGGGCAACGCGCGCGTGGAAGGGAACAGCCTTTGCTGACCTTTGCGGGATCCGCGGGTCTAGAATGCAGACAGCTCTGGTGCAGAGAGGACGCGCGCCTGGCGAGAAAGCTCCTTGATTGCGCAGGACGCCTACGCTGGCTCGCCTCGCCTGCACCGCCCCCCACGGTCTCGCACTCCGCAGCCCGGGGTTACCCCCAGCAGCCACCGCCTCTTTCCCCAAGTAGTGCGCGCCTCTCGAGCCTCGGACCTTTGCGCTCACGGTCCCTTCTGCCTGGAAAGCTTGCTGCTTAACTCCAGACCCACTCAACTTTATGCATAGTGTTCTTGGATCCACCCCTATTTGCGCCCTGATGGAGACAGAGTAGGGTTTCAATAAATGCTGAGAGGCTGAATGAATGAATGAATGAATCATTGAAGATACCATGAAAGAGTAATTTTTATCACCCACATAACTTGGCAGAAAAAAAAATTGTGGAACTATGAAGTCAGACAGATCGGGTACCAGTTCTTCCACTCACTAGATGGGTGATCCTCAGCCCTCGTAGAGTTCAAGAAATGTTTGCTGAACGAATGAGTATGTTCTCACGGAGACGTGTGGCGAACTAAATGAGATCATGCTTGTGCCGAGCCTGGCCACAATCGGCGCTCGAGAGAATTACTACTCGCCCTACTGTACCACGCTTTGTGTTTACGTAGACCGAGTTCCTGACTCGAGCTCCCCAAGGTGCCGGGTCACACGGCAGAAGTAGAATGACGAAAGGCTACAATTTTTAACAAGCTAGGGGCGGGGAAGATTACATATTCAGAATGGATCTGACACCTTCGCAGAGACCACAAGCCTCATCATCCCGCAAGAGTCTCATCTTGTGCATGCTCAAATGAAGGCCTACTATACTTGCAGATCCAGTCTGCGGTCCATAGGACCCCACCCCCAGCGCTTCAACAGGTCAGGTTCGCGGCGGCCCCGCCCCAAGCCGGCTCCAAACTGCTGAGCCTCCCGGCGGGGCTGGCGCCTAGGCGAGG